TCATAAGAAGAAAGGAGTGGGAACCCATTGACTTTCCTTATAGATAGCTTCGACATACTCGGTATCATCGTGCATTAAACTCAAAGCATAACATGCATCTTTGAAAGTACGGTGGACAACACCATTAATTGTTCTTATATCCATCTAAAAACATGGATCACGAACGACATGCAATAAAACCCTCAAGTAGTAGGCTTCGCCAGCGTTAGAGTTACAGTAGGCTATAATACTCGGTCTGGAGTTACCACAAAGACGGGGGTGCCATTGATGTTTTTATGATCCCAATCCCAATGGATCGGAAATTCAAAATACATATACGATATGGCTTCAGGATAGTCTTAATTTAACGAACCTGTAAATTTATCGTTGTAAACATCACAGAAAAATGTTCATCTTCTGTAAAAATGATTTGAGATGGAGGCAGATGTTACGGCAAAATCTGATGATCACGGAGGAAAAGATTGCTGGTCGCTATAGAAAATTCATAAAAATTTTGAAGTAAAGAACTATTAGGCAATGGATTTACATAAGATGAAAGTCTAGAAGCAGAAAAAAACATTTAAAGCACAAACTAAAATAAACAAACATGAATTTTTATTTACCTGACAATTTTATTGTAAAGCGGGAGATAAAATATTCAATTAGCGAAGTATGAACTATAAGAGTAGGTTGTCATTATGGAAATGCATAAATAATATATATATATATATATATATATATATCGATTTTTTTTAAAAGACATGGATTTATTTTTTAAAAGATGCTAAACCTTAGAAGACGAACATTGTATGTAAGAAAACATGAAGACCAAGAGGAGTATATATAGCACGATGGATACGCTAGGATTTAGATTAGTACTGTCTTTGATATCGATGTCTCATAACCAAAATCAGTGGCTATGACCAAAATCGAGATTAGTGGCCCATAAATAAAATTGATGGCCCATAATTGAGGAAAAAAAGACACATCACGGGTATTTCCACGTAAGATTAATGATTAACCTATCATAACAAATTAAAACGCCATATAATATTTTTAAATAATGACACATAGGACAATTGCTGTGGAGACAGCACATCAGATGTTGTGCGGGGAGGCAGAGAGAAATTGAGTTAAAGCTTTCAGGGACATATAGATGCTTCAAGGACATGTCGATGGAGAGAGAGAGTGTGAGGGATAGAATTAGAGAGAGAGAGAGAGAGAGAGAGAGAGGGGATAAAGAGAGAAAGAGAAATGGTAGAGAGAGTTAACCTTATAGGTACATGATATTCAGTCTATGTTAGCTCATATTTTTTGTGTTTCTATTTTTTTATTTTCGAAATACTTCTTATTTTAAATGTAGTTATCTAAATCATATGATATATATAAATTTAGGACGAGGGGGAAAGGAGAGAATGAGAGATAAATATTGAAAGAGGGATGGACACATGTATGAGGAGAGAGATATAATTAAAGTTTTCAAGCACATATATTTGATTGATATAAATAAATGAAGGAAAATAAGAAGAAAATAAAGTCGGACGAAGAAGACAAAGGCGATGAAAAAGAAGAAGAAGTAAAATAGAAAGAAGATGAGGAAAACAAAAAACAAGAAGAAGATGTGACCAAAAAAAACTTAAAGAATAAAAAGTAACAAAAGGGATATAGAATGAAGAGGTGAAAGAAAAAGAAATAAAAGAAAATGAAAGAAAACTAAGAAGAAAATGTCAGAGAAGAATGAGAGATAAAGATGGAAGACGATGAAGAAATAAAAAAAATATATATAAAAAAAACTAAAAGATAAAAAAGAAAAAAAGAAAAACAATTATGTAAAGACGAAAAACTCGCTTTTGTCTTAATTCAATTGATTTGTGAGTTCAATAGTAAATATATTTTTTGTTAATTTTAGATGGTGTTTCTTTTTTGAATTTGTTTTATTTTATTATGTATATATTAAATAATTGTTTTTAATTATTTTTAGTTTTAGTTTATAACATTGAAATCTCTATGCCCGGACAACAACAAATTAACAACAATATAAAACCCAAAAAATAAAATAGAAAATTAAAAGAAGGCGAGAAAAGAAAAATAATCACTAGAAATCACAAAAAGGAAATATGGGAGACTATGTCACAGAAACAAAATTCACCGGCTTACTAAAGTACAAAACCGATTTACTTTGAGAATGAGCGAAGAGTTGACCTTCGAGAAGGGTGAGTTAGTTGTTGTAGATGGAAAAATATATGTAGGCTAACGATATATATATAGTGTAGGATAAATGTTTTAGGGTTTTTTTTTTAATATTTTTCGATGGCCCATTTTACAAATTTGGTGAATTAAACAAAATCGATGGTCCATTAACTAATAGTATAAATGGTCCATTAAAATCATATTAACCATAGTGACACGTAGGATTAATGATAATTCAATTAGAATTAAGAAAAATGACATGTATATATGACACATAAGCAAATTGTTCTGGTGTTGACACGTAAGAATTTTGACTTCGCAAATAATAGTATAGATTATTTTCATTGATGTTATTTAAGGTTAGTATAATAATATTAATTTAGTAGCGTTTAATTAAAAAAAATGTTACATATCAGGAAAAAAATCTGAGATATGAAAAAAATAAAAATATTAATAAGATATTCTCTATTTTAAGATGAAATTTAACATAAGTTTCTTAAAATAAATTACACTGCAAATGGAAAAAACCTACATCAAAAAATAAGATTATATTGATGAGAGATTTCAAATGGTATCTCACCAATAGAGATAACAAAATTATGATGAGGTTCTCAAAATAAAATACACTACAAATATTATTTTTATATTTATAAAAAAACTCAATAAGTATCTCTCCAATGGAGATGTTCTTATCATCTCTGCAAAAAGAAATTGCACTCCCTCGAAATCAGATTTAAGATCTAGTGTAAAGGCAGAAATCCAACAATTGTCCACTTAAGCAAGACTGTTTTGAGAATTAACATCGGTAAGTTTTAAACGACTGAAATCAACATGCTATTATTCATTTTAACAAAAAAAACATGCCATAATTCAAAGCCTATGATATTTATAATTTTGTAACATCATACTACACAAATATTTGGGATAACCCTAAAATGTTTGTTAGTGAATTAGTTTCAACTTTTTCTTATGTAACTGTAATGTTAGTCGTTGTTTCTTGGACACGTTAATACTAATAGCCTAGTAGGTGTCATCAATAGATCAACATGTGGAATCTAGATAGTTATTGTTGGTGGGAGGTACCACCAGATTTTGAGTTCAGAAACATTAAAACCAAAAAAAAAAATCAAAAAGTAATCTAACACCCTTTAATTCCCTTGTCCAACAGATTATAGGAGTAGATTTCTTGGTGCAATCGAAAAAGAATAAGAAAAAAAAATTGTATTGCTTTTTGTCTTCAAGCTTTCAAAACTAGAAAGCGTGTAAATTGTCAGAAGAACTTGTGTGGTCATTTCCAAAGACAAGTACAAAAAAGAAGTAAATAAAGATACAAGATTTCTAATTAATGATACAATTAATGATAACAGGAAGAAGAGACAAGTACACTAAAAAGTCCAAAAACACGAAAAATTTGGTAGTTGCATTTCAATTAAAATGCCATGCAAATGGTCTGAGTCCAAACATAACTCGCGTTTCTATTTCTGGTTACTCTATTAAACGTCACAATCAATATTCCGCTAAAAATAACAAAACTAAACCAAAATTAGAGATTTAAACTCTAAATTAATATTTTTTTCGTTTCATAAATAAGTGTCGTTTTAGATTTCATTTTTTGTTTCAAAAAGAGTGTTATTCTGTATTTTCAATATAACTTTTTATCTTTATTTTCTGTTTTATCTCTCATTTAAAAATAATAATCTTTATAATTAAATATTATAAAAATATATTAATTAGAAATATATTTATATATTTTATTAATTTCTTATGAAACGGAAGGAGTAAACATTTTCTTTTTTAAGGAAAAGCTTCAAGAAGAAGAGTTTTGAACTCACAAGTCTCACATTACACAAGCAGAGCTCAAAAAAGAGAGAGAGAAATGATGGGTAGCTTTAAAATGGTCACTCCGCCACTTCCGGCGACAAGATTCCGGCGACAGCAACAGATAACGGCGAACGGAGATGGGTTTCCGGCATTTCTTCCGAAGGAGGTAAAGAACATAAAAGACCCATTCGCAAGAGCTTTGGCTCAAAGAATTGTACGGATCCCTGTTCCTCTTCAGGTTCTTCTTCATCTTCTCTCTCGATTTTCGTTTCCTTATTTTTTCATTTTTTCCCAAATCTCAAGTTTTTTTTGTGTGAGACAAGAATCAAAATGTGTTGCAGATTGGAAACTTTAGAGGTTGTGTAATGAGTAGCTGTATCAAACCAACTGTTCAATTACACGACAAAAGTCCCGTTGTTCTTCTCCATTGTTTCGACAGGTTTAATTTTTTCACCGACAAGACAATTTCATGAACTCACTGTGTGTCTAAAATTATATGAAAGTTTTCATTTTTTCTTTTTACTTTTAGCTCGTGTCTTGAATGGAGACGTACTTACCCTCTGCTTGAACAAGCTTGTCTTGAGACTTGGGCTATTGATGTTCTTGGTTGGGGATTCTCAGATCTTCGTAAGAACTTAATTTTACACTAATTAAACTCGATTCTTGAGAACTTGTGATTGATTCTGTTTTCAATTTCAAGAAGTCACTAAATTTAATGAATATTGTAGAGAAACTTCCACCGTGTGATGCAGCATCTAAGCGACATCATCTATTCGAGGTCAGTACTTATTTATACAGTACAAGAAAACAGAGGAACACAACAGATTATGTCCCTAAGTTTATCTGTGTATTACCGACAAATACAAATCCTAGTATTTTCTTGTTACAAGAATTTTCTTGTAGTGATAGTCCTAGTTGTTATAATATGTGGTATAGATTTTGTCCTCTTGGTTACTCTAATAATCGTTGTTTAATTTGAATTTCAGCTCTGGAAAACATATATCAAACGGCCAATGATTTTAGTTGGACCGAGTTTAGGAGCAACCGTAGCTGTTGATTTCACCGCTACTTACCCTGAAGCAGTATATTTCTGGTTTTTTTTATAAATTAATAATCAGAATGTTTCGGTTAAACCAATCACAATAGCTCACTCACTAAACCATCTTCTTTCTGATATTTCAGGTTGATAAATTGGTTCTCATTAACGCTAATGCGTATTCAGAAGGAATCGGTGCGCTTAAGGAGTTACCAAAATCGATTGCTTACGCTGGGGTTGGTCTTATAAAAACTCTTTTTATACTCAATAGGTAACGTTTGTATTAATAATTGACATTTGTTACAGGTTAAGTTGTTGAAGTCATTTCCTCTTCGGCTTTTGGCCAACGTGTTAGCCTTTTCATCACCTTTGTCCGAGAACATAGATTGGACTAATGTAAGATCAAATCTATATATCTTCATTCTTTTAAATATATTTCCATATGTCAAATTGATTTTTGAAATGGATTTTTTTTTTTTTGCTTAGATTGGCCGGTTACATTGTCAAATGCCGTGGTGGGAAGATGCAATGGTCGATTTCATGATTAGTGGAGGCTATAACGTCGCTTCACATATCAAACTCGTAATTAAGAAAAAAAAACTAATACTTCACATGTCATGAAAAACCAGATAAATTTATATTTTCTGATTTTCTTTTCTTTATTTTTTGTGACGCAGATAAACCATAAGACGCTCGTTGTATGCAGTGAGAACGATCAGATTGTTAGCAACCAGCTCTCAGTTGTAAGTTTGCTTTAGTCTGAAACATCAACAAAAAAATGTTTAAAGTTTCTTTGCTCCATTCACCTTAATTTTTAAAAAATTGTTTTCATTAATTTATTTTGGGTCTATGGTTAGTCGTAAAAGTCTAGGTTTTTCAAGTGTACTAGGGCCGGTTTACTGACCGAATCACCAATTTACCATTTGGGTTTTTTTTTTGGGTTTAGTTGGTCAGAAAAGTTATAAATTTTTAGAGTATACTCCAACCGAATTTACTGAAATAATCACAAAGTTTATAGGTTTAACCGGATAGATTGGTCCGGAGTTTGAAATACTGCATGGTTTTAACTATGTCATGAACAAAATGCAGAAATTGTTGTGTGAGCTACAAAATGCGGTTTTCCGGGAAGTATCAGATTCCGGTCATCTTCCACATGTTGAGAACCCGAAACACTTTGTGAAGCTGATATCGGATTTTGCCAGTGGAAAGCTCAACTGATTCATTTACTGTAAATCTGCTTCAAACTCATTGAGTGGCTACAGAGGAAGGAGTTGCAACGTTATAAATTATGAATGAAATACAAAGAGATTAGTCTAGCTTGGGCTTGGGGTGGCTATATAATTAATATATATGTGTAGTTGTTTTATTAAAAGAAGAAACTACAGAACATATATCTTCTCAAATCCGTAAGCTAATTAAAAGAGTATTGTTTTTTCAAGACTGTAGGTGGAAATTGAAAACTCTAAATTCTAAATTGCTTGTTTTTACGTTTTGTGTCTTTTTCCCTTAATGAAACACACAGCTTTTAACGTTTTAAAATATTATTTTTGTTAATTAGACGTGAAAATGGAAAGACAAATGTTGTTTACGTTGTGGCTACAATTTCTGATGTGATGTAAAATTGTTTCATATATTACATCTTCATTGATTTGAAAGACTCTTTCAGACTAGGAAGCCTTCTTAGCTACAAAGAGAAGGGAATGAAAGATCCGATTGAAACTTATTCTATATATGAATTATACCATTTTCAATAGTACATTTTCTGATAACTGGAATAGATCATGAGTTGAAACTTGGACTAATCTATGAAACATTTAGAGTTTTGCTATTTAAAGTAAGGGTGTTCAAGCATTCCCATAATCATCAGAAACGTATGAGAAACACAGAGTTCGCTCTAAGCTGTACGGACTTTTCTCTCTAGCCACTCTGTACGGACATCTTCGAAGGATGAGCTTGCCTTTGATTTTCCGACAGATCTGGGCTGTCCTTGTTCCCTGTTTCCCTTCCTCCTACCAAATATCTTAGATCTGGGTCTCTTCTAGCTCAGATTTCTCCCTTTCTTTTCGCCTCTCTTAAACCCACCCCTCATTTCCCTTCGTTGTTTTCTTTCTCTCTTGTTTCAAAAAACAAAACCATTTCACTTCCCCTCTCGTTCTGTTTTTCTCTGTTTTCTCTGCTTCTCTCTCAGGAAAATGAAACGACTCTCGAATGACGAAGCTGCCTGTGCGAATTCCTCCAACGATGAGGACGAATCGGTGTTGATTCCAGCCTTCGACAACTCTGCTTTAATAATAAGATTCCAACTTACTCTTATCGGAAGATCCTTTCACACTGGAGGCAGGGATACCGAGGCTCTCTTGGCTTTTATGCCTTGAGCTGGTATCTAGGATGTCGCAGGCCGTGTTCGTGGTGTGGATATTGGAAATGGCCGCTTTCATTTTGACTTTGATACAGAGGAGGACCTTCAGAACGTTTTCAAGAAACGACCATGTCACTTCAACAAATGGACATTTTCTCTTGAGAGGTGAGAACCGCACATCCAGGATGATTTCCCGAGTTCTGTCACCTTCTGGGTTCTTGTTCGAGGAGTTCCTCTCCACTACTGGGTGGAAGATGCTTTCATGAGGATTGGCGATGCTCTGGGGATAGTTAAAAAAGTGGATGACAAAAAAGGTCGTGTGTTAGGTGATTGTTGATGTCACAAGACCTTTAAAATTTAAGAAGGTTAAGTTTGACAATGGGGATGAAATAACAGTCTCTCTTGAGTATGATAAGCTTTTTCGGTACTGCTTTACTTGTCACCTAATCTCCCACAAGGATAGCTCCTACCCTATTCTGTCAAAGAGCGAGCGTTGCATAAACAGAGAGCGGAGACTTGCCTCGCAGCAGCGGAAAGACCGGAACCTTTGTGATTCTCGCAAAGAGAGAAGTCGCTTCCGAAATGACCGTCGTGGCTTTAGGACTGACAGATCTGATCGGGACCTTCCCCGCCGTGAACGGAACCCTCGCCAGAACCCTACCTCCAGTGCCACTTCTGTGAAGGAAGATCTCCACTCCTCTCGCTCTCTCGCTCAGAGATCTGTTCGCCGCAGTTTGTACTGAGGTGATGGTGAGGGCCGCCAGAGTACAGAAGAGGATCAGTCTGGCATCGACTGAGTGGTGAGCGAGAACAGTCTTTTCCCCAGCACCGGGAGACCTCTTTTCAATTCTCTACCGGCCCGAGGAAGCATCGCACTCAGGATTCTGTTGTCTCCGGTCAAGATCTTCACAGAGAGACGACCAGGAAGGGCCTTTTCTCATTCTCAGAATGGATCTCAAAGGATGAAACCTTCCTCCAACCGTAATCGCTCTCCACCTAGAGTGGATCCGATTTTTGATCATTGGGAGAATCCCCGAAATTCCCGACACCAGCCTGCTCTGCGTATCTCGAAACCATCTCACCCTCCTCCAGCGATTGCCCACGAAGTGGACCTTTTGGATAAAGTAAAAAGGAAGGCTGTCGTTCAGGGTGAGGATGATGATAACAGCGATGCTGGAGACTTTGATTCCTCCCCAAAGCTTTTGGAAATTGGTTCAGCTTCCGGTGCAAATCTTTCTCCACGTTTTGATGAGCTTCTTCTGCCTCATGTTTCCTCTCCTCTCGACCCCGTTTCAGATCCGATTACTGATACTGAGGATAAGAGTGTTTTTGGAATGGAATCGGTTCCAACCGATTGGGGAGACAGAGTGGATGGTGAGAAGAATGATACTGAGCTGACAGAAAAAGATTTAAGCATCCTCGATGAATGTGATACGATCATGGACCCAGAGCATTAGCCATATAAAGAAATTGAGGTTTTGGAAGTCCATTTGGCCGTACCTGAAGAACCCATGACGCGATCCAGGGCTAAGAAGCTGGTAGGGGCGGTTCAAGCTGTGTTTAATGGGATCAAGGATGGACCAGGCGACCCAGCATCACCCAAAATTGTGACCGTGCTCATGAACGCCGGCTGTAGCTAATCTAGTCTGGGTGACAGCTTAATACTCTTTTTCCTTACACTCGGGTTTGTCTCAAAGGATTTACCGGGTGGGATTTTAACGAGGTTAAGTCCATTGCCCACCTCTCGACATAGGTTCATGGGACGGAAGCTTAGGAGTCATTTTTGGCTAAGAAGTTCAAAAGTCGGTCAAGGGCCAGCCGAAGGATCATTCAAACTTTTCATTATTTCAGTCAAAAACATTTATGTCTTTTAGTGATTTTCTAAGCATGACTCTTCGCCTGCTTTCTCTTCTATTTAAGCGCAATGTACTTTCATTCTGGAATTCATTCACTTTTATCTTAATAAAATTTTTGAGTTTTTCTCTTTGTTCTTTTTGAGAACTCTTTTCAATTCTAAGGTAGTTAGCCTCTTGAATCTTTTCTTTTCGGTTTATTGAGTTTTTCTCATCGGACTCAATGCAGCCTTCGATCCATCTAGTTTAAGTATTCGTTCAAGTAGATTTAGGGGCATCAGGATTTCGGAAACCTTGTTCTCACGCCTGATCATCTCAGATTCGCGGATTCTTAACTCGGCGCAGCCACCCTCTCTGTTTGTGACGATCACCGCGAGTTTGGGCCTAGGGATATTCGGGAGTTTCCACTCTCACGCCTTAGCATCTGCTCCATGCATCCGATCTAGCCAAGGATCTATCAACCTCCATCGCCATGTGTGTTCGGTCTTAGGAAAATCATATCAGATTGTAACAGACAAATGAAGACATAAGGATTCATGGAGGATGATGATCTCTTGGAGGGGGACTTAGCTGCCGTGGACCTCATGGTTAGTTTGGAAAGGACTATATCTGATGTCGCGGTTCCTATCAAGCATGCTCCGGTTATGGCTCCTACCATCTCTCAGTCCAAGACCAGTAAGCGGGTGAGGTCACCCGATCAAAATTCAGCTCGCAAAAACCTCAAGCCAACTTGCCCGGTCGAAACGAAATGCAGGGCCAGAAGAAGAAGGTTCCGCGAAGCCCAAAGATGAGTACCGTAGCGTCCAAGAAACTTAAACCTTTCCAAGGCAAGAGTCCTCCCAAGAAGAGACCATCTGTGACCACCGGTTTACCACCCTCTGTGTTGACCAACGTTCCCAGCGTTCTTGTTCCCCGTCGGGCCTCGGTGCCAGCACCAACAAAGAAGATCACCAAGTCAGGATAGAAGAATAAAGGTTTGAAGGATGCCCGTACTCCTCCCAAGCCTCCAACATGAGGGTTTTAGCTTGGAACTGTCAAAGGGGCGGGTGCAGAGTCTACTTCTCGCCGACTGGAAGAATTATCTCATAAATACTCTCCTGGTTTTATGTTTTTATCTGAAACCAAGAATTCTTGTTATTTTCTGAAAAACATGCAAGTTTCTCTAGGATTTGACAACCTCCAAACTGTCGACCAAATAGGGAACAGTGGAGGTCTTGTTTTTTTTATTCTAATGATTTTTCGGTTAAGATTATGCTGTTGGACGATCGTTTGATTGATGTTGAGACTATTATTTATGGTAATAGAGTTTCTATGACGTTTATCTATGGCGACCCTGTTGTTAAAAATTGAGAGTATGTTTGGGAGAGATTTAATCGAATTGGTATATCTCGTTCTGATCCTTGGTTCGTTATTGGTGACTTTAACGAAATCATAGGAAACCACGAAAAATGCTGAGGGAAGAAGAGATCGGAATCAACTTTTCTTCCCTTCATGCTATGATTCAAAATTGTGGCATGATTGATTTCCCTTTTCAAGTCAACCAATTCTCCTGAGTGGGGCACCAGAAAAATGAAATTGTGAAATGTAGATTGGACAGAGCCTTAGGAAATGAAGATTGGCACAATATTTTTTCCCACACTAATGTAAAGTATCTTAAATTATGGGGATCTGATCACAGACCTATTGTCACTTCTATTCGCAACTTTCCTCTCTGTCTGTGTCATCGCTTTATGTTTAATAAAAAATGGAATGGAAAACCTGGACTAGGAGAGGCGGTTAAGAATGGATGGGGAGAACCCTTGATGCGAAGCAATGGATCTCTAGTTTGCCATATCCGGAAATGTCGATGGGCAATCTCCGCTTGGAAGAAAAGTATCACCACAAATTCTAAGATGCTCATAGATAAAATCGTAGATGAGATCGACAAAGCGCATGAGGATGAAAATATTTCCTCAGAAGAGTTAGTCGAGCTCAAAGGCCGTGAAGAAGAAGTATATTGGCAGCAGAAGAGTAGAGCAACCTGTTTAAAGGACGGTGATTAAAACAAAAAAAAATTTCATGCCACGACAAAGCAAAGGAGGGCAAGGAACAAGATTCTAGGGCTACTTATTCACTCAGGAGAGTGGATAGATAACGAGGAGGGTATCGAAAAACTTGCGATAAGATACTTTGAAAATTTATTTACTTCCTCGTGTTCGAGTGATCCATCATCGGTTCTTTGCGATGTTTCCACGAAAGTTATTAGAGAGATGA